AAAAAAAAAAAAAAAAAAAAAAAACATGATAAATATTTAGTGGAATGGTAAGACGGTTAGATCTGTCAACTTTATAAAATCTATAATTAACCTGGGAAACGGGCCTCTGAACGTGCCTGTGGAGGATTGCCTTGATTATAGTGTGGGAAGACTCAGATTCAGTGTGGGTGGGACTGCCGCTGTGGAGATAGTGAGCGGAACACTAGCACACACACACTCATTGCTCTCTTGACTGTGGACATCATGTGACCAGATGCTGTAAATTCCTGCTGTCTAAACTTCTCTACCATGATATACATTAAATTGTGAAGCAAAATAAACCTTTTCTCCCTTAAGTGCTTTGGCCAGAGTATCCCATCACAGCAATGGTAAGGAAACTAAGATACATAAAAATGCTAATTTCTAGGTTTTGATCTCTACATGTCTACATTGTTGAATTATGAAACTGTATCTCACAAAGAGCTACAATTAGTATATATCCAATGGAGCTCAAACTCATAAAAATGGACTGTACAATATGGAAGAGGAAGGCGTTGACCAGTGGGTAAAGAGCTATTGGGCAGAAAGAAGACATTCTGGTGTACTGTTTGATACAGTGATCATAATCAATAAAAATGGACAGCTGTTTGGCTCAAACTTTTTGGGGGGCACCCAGGCAGGGGGATCAGGATCTGTCCCTGGTGTATGGGCAGGCTTTTGGGAATCCGGTGCCTGTGGTGTGACACCTTGCACAGCCTTGGTGCAGTGGGAAGGGGCTTGGACCTGCCTAGGCTCAGTGAGCTGGGCTCTGATGACTCCCCATGGGAGACCTCGATTTGGGGGATGTGGGGATGTGGGGTGGCTTGGGAAGAGGGCTGGGGGAGAAGGGAAGAGGGAGGTCTGTGGATAGCATGAAGAGTGAGTAGAAAATTTCTTAATAAAGAAAAATAAAATAAAATTTAAAAAAAGAAAAAAATGGATTGTGCATTTAAAAACATATAGCAGAGGATTTTGAATGTCCTCCTACAATAGTGATAAATGTTTGAGGTGGTGTATGTGTTAATTACCTTGATTAAATCATCACAATATGTGTACAAGCTAAAACATTACAATACTTCACAAATTTATATGAGTATCAATTAATATTAAAATTAAGCTAAATTTTTTTGTATATATGTCAGAAAATCAACTTTCACTGGAACTATAATGAAGTCTTTAGGATCAGACTTCTCTCAAATTATACGCTGTTATGATACATTACAGGGACCCCAAGGGTATAACATGCTGGCGTGGTGGGCAAATACAGTGGTGGGCTGACGGGTGACCCACTCCATGCAGGCATGGCGCTGGGGCAGTGAGTGGACATTCACAACCCAGACACGACATCCGTGCAAAAATGGTTTATTATAATAGAGAGATAGAGAGAAGATACGGAAAGAGAGAGAGAAAAGAGAGGGGGTGGACACCTAGTGCGAGTGGAGAAAGAAAGAGAGAGAAGGAGGCAGAGTTTTTCCTTAAGAAAAGGTTTCTATGTCAGGACACAGGGTGGCCCCAAGGGATGAGATTTCAAGGGGCAGATCAAAATATTAACATAAGCGACTACCAAACTGCAATGAATATATAAAACAACTATTTTTTTTATTAGGACTGGGAGGTCAACAGCATAGACAAGTGACAAGAGACAGAAGAAAAACCTGTGAAGTAGGATGTACCTTACTTATTATTTCCTTCCACCTGGAAGCAGAAGATCCCAATGCAGGAAGGTAAAAATTGTCTAAAAATGTTCTTGCTAGGCCAATGATGCAAAGATACTAGCTTAGACATCTTTAGGAGGCCATGAAGTAAGTGGTACGTCCTGTGAGAAAGGAGCTGTGCTGCAGCCATGCTGCCTCTGAGAATCCGGGTCCTGGAAGTCACTAAAGTGAATTGCACCACAATCGAAAGACTGTCCACATTTTAGGGAAAGGTTCATAGTATTTGCTCCCTTTCAGGTTATGGTAAGATGCCACATAGTAGGAATGTTTTGTGAGATGTGAGAATTTATGGTAGCCTATGGGTTGGTAATTGCAAGGATTAAGCCCTCATCTTGGATATGATTTCTCAGGAAATTTTAAGAGAAAATCAAGGCAGCCAACAAACATTATCTGTGTCTGTGATGCTGGCTTTAACCTTAGAATTCCTAGAGGTCATTGAGAGAAAGATAGAAATGGAGAAGGGAAGAAATGTTTCTTCTGTGGTAAAGGGTACCTTTGATGATCAGTCTTCATTGCCTGTTTGACTAGACTTAGAATCACCATGTAAACATTCCTTTGTGTATGTCTACAGGTTATTTTCAGAAATGTTTAACTGAGTAAAGAAGACCTACCTCTCTACTGAGGGGGTTATCATCACATGAGGTTGGGTCCCTGACTGAAGAAGAAGGAAGTGAGTTTAACAAAACCATCTGTTTTTCTCTGCTTTCTGAGGTAGCTTGAGTACGACTCCTCCCTCAGACTCTTCCTGCCATGACTTCTCTACTATGATACACTATACCCTCAAACTATGAACCAACTATAAAAACTTTATTCTACTTTACTTAACTTGCTTTTGTGGGTTAATTTTCATATCAAAGAGAAAAGTTACCTCATTATAGGACGCCTGGCAGGCTGTGATCTCACAGTCAGCATGTGGAAGATGGGGTGACTTCCTCTAGGTTGGCAATGCTGGCCTTGTTTTGCTCTTCCTCCAGGAGTTGCATGCATTAGACTCTTCAAGAGGAGCTCACTGATATTCCTGCTCTCTATAAACTCATCCCTCTTGACAGTCTTTATTTTATTCATTCATTACTCTGAAATTCATGTTTTTATTATAAACATGGCTTTATTTTGGCCAAGAAAATTAAAATGTCCCTCTATATGTCTTTGCTGAAAGGTAAGATTTATCTTTTTTTCTCAAGACAGGGTTTCTCTGTGTATCTCTTCCTGTCCTGTAATCTGCTCTGTAGACCAGACTGGCCTCAAACTCAGAAATTCACATGCCTCTACTTTCCAAGCACTGGGATTAAAGGTGTGTGCCACCACATTCTGGCTAAGATTCATTGTTTACATTAAGCTTGAGAGTCATTCTCTGTAATTGTGATGTTTACCCTTTAATGATAGCTATCAGTAATTAATTTTTAGTATGTTATATTGGTAAATACACTCATGAAAGGGAAAAATGATGTGAAGTCACAGAATAACTTTATTAACTTTAGCATACATTTCAAAGTAATATATATTTTCTTGGATATTTAGCTATGACAGAAAGCATCATTGTTTTAGAGACCTAAAGCTGTTGGGTTGGTATTTTATTGGTACAATCAAAATACAGAAGAAAAAAAGTAGCAGGAGACAACATCTCCATTTGAAAATGACCACTGCTAATTACTGGGCCTGTCACAATAGGTAATATCTATGCATTAGATATTACTAGTATCTGTTTCTCATTTTTAAATAAAAAACTATAGACTGCCTTAATTATTCTAGAAATTCAGTCAGTCAAATTGGTGGTTTGCAATGACAAAGAATTTAAAAGTACACAATTTTGATTTTCCATTTGCAAATAGATTCTTCAATGCATATGATATTCCATAAGTATAAATAAAATTTAACTTTTGAACTAATTGCACAAATTTGACTCATGTACTTTATCAAGAATGTACTAATGTTGAAATATGGCTCTAAGGGACAAACCTATCCTAACGTAGTAAAGTAGCTTTGTTACTTGACAGCTGTGCCCTCCATTCATATATTGTCTGGCAGAGGCAAATAGTTAAAAAGAAGGCATATTACAGCAAAGCTTATAAATGTAACTTTTCTGGCAGGAATAAACATATTCTAAGGAGAGACACTTGTGACTTTCCTTTTGGATATTGTACTATTAAGACAATGGTCTCCAAGAAATAGAAATTTCTCAAAAAATATACGTGGAGAACGACAAAAGTGAAGCCTTCTATCAAGTGGAATGTGAACTTGTCTCATGGATTTCATACAGTTCTGATAACTTATCAAACTACCTTTCAGGAAAGACTTGGAACTGAGGCAGCAGTAGTGGGCAGGAGTATGCCTTGACCATATTTGGCTAGCTGTGCATATATCTTGCCTTTTATTTAATTTTGACTTTCATGTTAGAACCCCAGTGTGGTCACATTGACTAAATCTTCTGTCTTTGATTTTCACTGTTTCTTTATTGTACTATTGAGGAGTTTGGTTTTTAGGGATGGTAGAGCCCAGGCCTGAACTGTAGCAACTCTGGTAACAATTTTGATGGGTCATGGCCAGGAGAAAAGGCATATTTTTTTTTTTTTTTTTTTTTTTTTGGTTTTTCGAGACAGGGTTTCTCTGCGTAGCTTTGCGCCTTTCCTGGAGCTCACTTGGTAGCCCAGGCTGGCCTTGAACTCACAGAGATCCGCCTGGCTCTGCCTCCCGAGTGCTGGGATTAAAGGCGTGCGCCACCACCGCCCGGCGAGAAAAGGCATATTTTAACTGTCTTTTGTGAGCTGACCACAAATGAAAAGGAAAGTTTAAATAGTCACATGCAGCTTCTGAAACCATTTTATTCTGTGGAATTTTTTTTCTTATTGTCAGTGGTGGTTTGAAAGAAAATGTCCCCCAAATGGAGTGGCACTATTAGGAGGTGTGACCTTGTTGTAGTAAGTATGGTCTCATTGGAGGAAATGTGTCACTGTGGAGGTGACCTTTGAGATCTCATATGTACTCAAACCATGCCTAGTGTCTCAGACCATTTCCTGTGAATCAAGATGTAAGAACTCTCAGCTCCTTCTCTGGCACAATGTGTACCGGCATGCTGCCTTGCTTCCCCACATGAAAATACTGGACTAATCCTCTGTACTGTAAATGAGCCACCATAATTGAATGTCTTCCTTTATAAGAGCTGCCATTGCCATGGGGTCTCATCACAGCAATAGAAACCCTAACTAAGGCATTGTCTTATGTCCGTAAGATCAGCTGCTTTCTGCTGCCTTTGGGTAAAGCCAAGGGATGAGCATTTGGACTGTGTATGGAACTTGAGAAATAAGATTTATTGTAGACACAGAGCAAGATTTTTTAAGGCACAAAATTTTATATTAGCCACACAAGTTTGCATAAAGATTTTCTTTCAAAACAAATTCTAGAAATTCTAATATTAAGGGTGTATCTCAATAAACTTACACAGTTAGAATAGCTATTCTAAAGCTGTAGAGGATCACACTAGATTTTACACTTTCACTATCAAATGTCTCTCTCCTCTCTCCTCTCTCTCTCTCTCTCTCTCTCTCTCTCTCTCTCTCTCTCTCTCTCTCTCTCTGTAAGCGTGTGTGTGTGTGCGCGCGCGCGCGCGCGCGCGCGCGCGCGTTAGTTTGGTTTTTAGCACTTACCTAAAAATGGAAAACCCACAACAGAGTTGACAGTAGAAAATCAGTTAGTTTTAAAGGTCTCTTTCATCACTCATGTATCCTTTGCATGCACTCCAGTTTGACTAACTTTGATGTGTGGTTGATTTTAATTTGCAACTTTTTAACAATAAAGTTTTAATCAAATTAAAAAATAATAGTAAAAAATAGTCAAAGGTAACAAAATATAATGACATAAAACTGCTTTTGTTTAGTTCTGCAAAGATTTCTGAATTGCTTCTTTCTAGGCAACTTAATAAGCTGTTTAATCCTAGGACTGGCCTATGTACAGAAGTGCATGATTTCTGGGCTTTGCCTATATGAAATATACATTCATTCTGACAGTATTGAGATAGGATAACTTTGCTATTACCATATTTGCTAATACATTTTGTTGCAAGTAATGTTATGAGATCAGAACTTTGTTACTTAATTTGGTGTTTATTGACATTGTAAAATTATTGATTGTCACTGGCAATACATTTGTAAGAAGTCTAAGGCTTCAGTGTTTGTCAGTGCTGCAGAACTATATTTTACTGAGCCATGAGATCTAAAACTTACTTCAAGAGTAGAAGCTGAGCTAATGTATAAAGGACTTCTGTTTGGTTCTTCTGTGTAGTGATTGTAATTGTTCTGTAATTGTTATATGTTGAATATACTTACATTCCTTTTGTATTGCATAAGCTTCCTAAGATGCAAAGCTAAGAAAACTCTTCAGCAAAAAGATGTGAGTTGACATGTTCCTAATTATATCAAGACTATTTTTCGGCCGGGCGGTGGTGGCGCACGCCTTTAATCCCAGCACTCGGGAGGCAGAGCCAGGCGGATCTCTGTGAGTTCGAGGCCAGCCTGGGCTACCAAGTGAGTCCCATGAAAGGCGCAAAGCTACACAGAGAAACCCTGTCTCGAAAAAACCCAAAAAAAAAAAAAAAAAGAAAAGAAAAAAAAAAAAGACTATTTTTCTTTAAGTAACAGTAATTAGAGACGCCTAATTGTGCATCAAGCAATGCCAACTAAGAATTAAAAAGTATTGGACATTGGCCACCTACAGCAGGCCTGAGTTAAAAGCCACTCATTCTGTACCTCTTCATTGCTTTAATTGAGCATATAGTTTTGTTGGCAGGAACTTCTTGATACATGTCACCTACATTACTCTCCTACTCCTACACAAGGTTGGTGTGAGTGAAGAAAAGCTATAAAGATGGGAAACCATAGATGTTTTGAGAAGGATAAATCTGTTGCAGGAAACATCAGCTAGGTATATAACAGAAATCACGTGAATTCTAAACGCAGAGATTAAAGTTATATCATGTAGCACTGTGGAACCACAAATAGGCTTAGCATGTATAAGGCCATAGAGTCACACACACACACACACACACACACACACACACACACACTTACTGTAAAAGTAGTTTTGAAGTGTTTTTAAGACTTGAAAATTATTTCTGTACAGAACATCACCTGCCACTAAATCATTTGCACTTGACCTAAAAGGTAGAAAATAGAAGGATCATTAAGTGTGTGTATAAACGTATTGCCAGCTTTATGAAAGAACTAAATGAGACACAAGGTTATCTGCCTGCAGTTAGGGCTGGCATAAACTGCTGACCTGTCAGAAAAGCCAAGCACAGGGTTGTGTAGAAGGATAATTTTGATAGTCATAAGTGTTCCATGGCTTTAAATTTTTATTCCTTTCCTGTTTCTAATATTTTCAGACTAACTTGGCTATCAGTTGGAATGCAGTATGCTGGCTGTTGCTGTGACTCTGGAAATCAGGTATGCACTTGAGAAACAATGAATACAGCAAGTTTACTTTCTAAATTTGGCTGTCAACTATTTTCAAACACATCTTTTAAATAAGCTTCAATACCTTTAGTAATTTGCTCAAAATGAACTATAATTCTTATAAAAATCCAAACACAATGGGAAAATGTGAAATATATAAAACATTACAGATTCCACCATTGATAATTGTTGTCTTTAATCAAATTTTATGTATGGTTGTCTATGTATATTACTTTTCTATTGCTGTGACAGAATACCTGAGACAAACAAGAATAGAAAATTTTCAGAGTACTGAAATTGTGGCTATTGTAACTGGAGATTTTCCCAACACCCTTAGTGTGCCATTCTAGCCTCTTTGAGTGTCTTAGGAGTTTCTTGTGAATTTTGTTTTATACTGACCTGACTTGATTTACCTGGAGTGAATCTCTTTTCATGTATTCAGTCTGAGCTTTGATGAGCTTTCAGACAGTAACGTTATATAGTTAATGACTTTTTCAAAAACCGTGACTTTTAATTCACGTTTTAAAATGATTGTTATAATTTAGTGAGAGGCGTGTTTGAATGAGCAATATCTCCCCTATATTCCAGTATTTGAACACTTATTTCTCCAGTTGGTGGCACTGTTTAGGGAGAATATTGAACCTTTAAGAAGTGTAGCCTTGCTGAAGAAAGTATGTCCCTGGGTGGTGAGCTTTGAAAGTTTATATTCTTGCTTTGCTTCCTTGTATGATAAAATGTAACCAGTCAGCTTCCTGCTCTGGCTACCTCCTGCTATGCCTTTTGCCTTTAGGGAGTCCTCTTCTGGAACAGTAATCCCAAATAAACTCTTCTTTCTCTAAGTTGTTTTGGCCAATGGTATTTTACCCTAGCAACTAAAAAGCAAGTGATAAAAATGTTGGGAGCAATATGTGAGTGTTGATATACAACACCTGAATATGTTGTTTCTTAGAACAATGTGGGAGATTTTGGAGCTTTGGACTAGGAATGCCATTGGATTTTACAAGCAGAACTTTATAGTCCATTCTATTAGGAGCCCAGAAAACAGTAGTGGTGATAATAATGTGGATTGTAAAGACCCAGCTCATGAGGTTTTGGAAGGAAGCAAAGAACTGATTAACAACTAGGCTAGAGGCCAGTCTTGTGGAACTATGGCAAAGAAGTTGGCTAAATTAAATAGTAATAGACGCATTTCTTTAAAACAGATCATTTTAAGACACTTAACACTGAAAATATGAAGGGTTTGTTACTGATAACTCTTATGCAGGTCTATAATAAAAGTGATTAAGTGAGACAGAAAGAAATACAAAATGTAGAATTTGGAGAGAAAAGGAGCACTGGGAAGCTTCATGTTACAGCCAAAGTAGGTACTAAAAAAGAGACAGTGATTGATAAGGAGATTAGTGTCGTTTGAGAGAGACCTGTGCTCTGGACTGGAACAGCACAGACCCCTGAAGGCAAGACAATACCCAGCTAAGCTTCCAAGTTGTAGAGGAGAAATCCTAAGGGGGTAGTTTTCTCTTAGAAAGCAATCACTTCAACAAAAATGCCTCTGATCTGTGAGCCCTTTGCCCAAGTACAGGTACTTCCTGAAAGCTGGAGGCTATTGTTTATGTAAAATAGCAAGCCACATGTTTTCACTCCCCTAAACAAGTTTATTTAACTCATCTACACCAGATGTGCTTGATCACATGTGGTCTGGAGGCTCACAGGCAGGAAATACATCAGGATGTAAGCTTGCTCCTGATTGGACCTGCTAGAAAATATGATGAATTGTGGGTTTTGCCTTTTTAAGCTCCTGCAAACCATGACCAGTGGCCATTTTCTGAAAAAGCAGAGATGGACATGGACAGAGAGTCCATCAACCTGGCCAGTATTTAATTAAAGCTTGCTTCAAATTTGATTTTAAACTGTGGTAGTGGTCTTATTCTCAATTGGTAGGATTAACAATACAGCATATTTTGACCCTTAAAACACAGAACAGAAGGATAAAGAAAGTGGCCAAGTGCCAGTTAGTGAAGAGTCAGGAAAAGTTGAGGTGATTTAATGGAAAATAATGTGTAGTTGGACTTTCTTTTGGGCCGCCAGCTCACAAATAACAACACAGAGACTTATTAATTATGACCATTAGTTTAGGCTTGTCCCACTAGCTCTTATAAAAAATTAATTTATATTTTTTTATTAATCTATAATTTGCCACATGGCTTTTACTTCTCTCCCATTCTGTGTGTTTGACTCTATACTCCTTCAAGTAAAGCATTTTGTGACTCCCTTTTCCTTGCTGAGATAATGGAAACATTGGTTAAGACACCCACAGATGGTCACATGTTGCCCTTCTGTATGTCTTTCTGGTTGGACAGAGTCACACTCTGTCCTTGATGCTGTAGTCCTTTTGAGAGTAGGCAGAACACACCCCTGCCCCAGCAATGTAACACTTGTCTGCCACAATCATTGGATATTTGTCACCCATTTGAGCCGGGGCTTTGAGTGGCCTTGCTGGGTTGAATTGCCACTCATGTTCTTGTTGAGAAAGTTTTGGTGGTGTCCCCTGAGCACCTTGAGTATCTCCTCTTACTCTCTCTGCCTAGAAATCCCACCTACCTCTCCTGCCTAGCTATTAGCCATTCAGCTTTTTATTTCACCAATCACAGCAACATATCTTCACACAGTGTACAATTATTCCACAACAATATTGTTGACTTGCTTACGTAGTATTTTTTAAATGTTAGCAGTATTCTCAATGAAGTACAGGAAAAGAAATCCCTTGCCCACTAGAAACATATTCTCAGACCTGAAGAGTAAGTGGTTTCTTCTTGACTGCACCTCATTTTCAGTGGCAATGATGGTTTTATGCAAACTTATGGGGAAAGGGTAAAAATAAAATATGTTTGGTAACTTCTGAAAATGTTCAGAGCACTCCCCACTGGACTTGCTGTGCGTGAGAACATGCATTACATCTCAGGCTAAGCTAGGTGTTTGAGGACTCTGGTACCAATGCAAAAGCATGGAAAGACTCAGCTGTGTGCTGCAGTTTTCCGCCATCAGGATGAAAATGCATGCAGAGAACTTGGGAATATCAGCTCTTAGCCATACAGTCGTGCCTGTGAGCCAAGCTTGTTTTCACTTGACTTCTGATGCACAAACACAACTTTAGGGTAAAATTGTCGTGTTAGTCAGCTTTCTGAAGCATTCACAAAATCCCTAAGACAGTCAAAGACAGGAAAGTTTTATTTCAGCTCAGTTTTTGGAGGGTTCAGCCCATAAGCATTTGGACCTGTGGCAAGGCAACTGTCACTGTGAGAAATGCATGGTGGGAATGTACTAAAAGAAGCTGCTCACTCACGAAGACTAGGAAGCAAGGAGAACACTACCCACCTAAGAGTTATCCAGTCCCATATGTCCTTCAAGGGTATAGTCCTAGTGACCAGCCACCTACAAGACCTCATTTCTTTTTCTTTATTTCTTTTTGTTATGATTTTTTGAGCCAGGGTTTCTCTGTGTAGCAGCTCTAGCTGTCCTGGAACTTGATTTGTAGATCAGGCTGACCTCAAACAGAGATCTTCCTGCCTCTGCCTCCTGAGTCCTGGGATTAAAGGCATGTGCTACCATACCTGGCTAAGACCTCATTTCTTTTTTGTTTTGTTTTGTTTTTGTCTTTTTCAAGACAGGGTTTCTCTATGTAGCTTTGCACCTTTCCTGGAACTTACCCTGTAGCCCAGGCTGGCCTCGAACTCACAGAGATCCACCTGGCTCTGCCTCCCGAGTGCTGGAATTAAAGGTGTGCACGACCACCACCCAGCAAGACCTCATTTCTTAAAGGTTCCAAAACACCACAGGTTTGCAAGCAAGTCTTTGTCACATGTGCCTTGGGTGGGTGAGGTGTGTGCACATAAACTGTTCTCTATCCATAGTCCTGTGACTACAATGTAATCCACCTAGAGACAGGCATTAACAAGTTACTCTAGGCAGTCAGTTTCATCATTGGCCTGTCAAGCCTTAGCTAAAATAACATTGGCCAAATTCTACCTCAAGGTTGGGGCACAGTTATTGACTTAAAATTTCATTACTCAGTATGTTTCACTTAATTCAAAGATGTAACTTTCTTATTTTAAGTGAAGTTGATTAGGAAAGGGTTTTTAATAGATTTAAGCATGGGCTTAAAGGGGAAGAGAGAAACTGAAAAGAACATAACACACCCCCTAGTGCAGGAAGGGACCCAAATTCATTTTCCTGAATCTTCACTACTCATAATTTATGTAATGAAATACCATAAATATGGATTCCATTTTTGATGGGATTAAGAAAAGGTGCAGAGAAATCTCCACATCACTGAACTTCATGGTTTCTTATTTCTAAACTAAACTTGTTCTTAAATGCAAGATATAACAGATTACCTGCATAGAACCTGGCAGCTAAGAGTTACTCAAGAAATCATACTCACAGTGGCTGGTATATTGCGATCCTCTCTCTATTTTGTCTGTTCCATGTGATATCATATTTCTTATTACTTAGAATCCAACACAGGTACTTAATGTTTGTTGATTATGCAGCTCTGCTCAGTTGACAAAAAAAAAAAAAATGGGGAAAACCATGAATGGTTTATGTCTCCCTGAGAGGTGTTTCAGAACTCACCATCCAACACAAGCTTGTTGTCTGGCTTGGTCCCCTCCTTTCTTTCCACAAACAGTGTTCCTGGATCTGATTTCACCGTATGCTAGGTAAAGGTCCTTCTTCCCCCGCCTCACTCCAACCAAGTGGAGGCCTCTGACAGCAGATCCCATCCCACCTTACCCTGCAGGAAGATTGTATGTTCCAGCCTCTCTACTAGTCCTGGAAGTTGACTTCATTCCCCTCTGTATCTCTACAGCACTCACCTTTCACTTGACAAAATAACTTACGTTGTTCAGGGTTTTATTTTTGTTGTTGTTGTTGGTGGTGGTGGTGGTGGTGGTGGTGATGGTGATGTGACTTCAAATATTTCTAAACACGTTTAC